AATTTTGGATTTAGAGGTTTCTCGACATGGGCTGTCATTTGAAACACTTAAATCGAATATTTGAAAATAAATCGTCAATCTTCATACGGAGAATCGGACCCCAGATTTGGTCTTTCCAGTCTTGTTCAAAAAATTTTTGCTACCAAAGTTCAATTGCACAAACTTTTGAAAACGTCAGTCGATGCATTTTGATGTGCTCTTTCAGATGAGACTACTCTCGATTTATTCTACATCGCTGATTCGACCAACATGCCGTATTTACGTGAGAATGTTTTCTGAAAATGGTATATAATGCCAAGCAAAAATCATCCAGCGATGAGATACTTTTATTACCATAAAAATATAGCCCATCGTTGATAGTATTTATGGTAAAAAAATCTCGGTTATATCTCTTGTTGTTCTCGAGAAAATGAAGATTTACTGGAAAGTATTGCACTATAAAGTACTTCAAATGGGACCTACCCCTTCATACTTGTATTGTCTATATCTCCAAAATGGCTCATCCGTTTGAGCTGAAATTTTCAGTTTCTTCCTAAGACTCTTAGGCCTACCTCCTGTAAAAATATCAGCCAAATCGGTGACATCGATTGAGCAAGGGTCTGCTTGAATTGGTCGTGGCTTACGTGCAATAACTCCTAGAGGGCCCAGGGGTACTTCCATATAATAGCCCTTGAGGACCTATGGGTATCTTCGTGTAATAGCCCTTGACGGCCCAGGAGCACCTCCATAGAATAGCCCTTGAGAACCTATTGGTACCTCCATATAATAGCCCTTGAGGACCCAGGGGTACCTCCATGTAATAGCCCTTGAGGACCTATGGGTATCTCCATATAATAGCTCTAGAGGACCTGTGAGTACTTCCATATAATAGCCCTTGAGGACCCATGAGTGCCCTCATATATAACAGCTCTTACAACCTTCCCCTTATAGCCTTATCTGACCTTTGACCTTTGACCCGGCACAGACAGACAGACAAACACACAGACAGACACTGAACATTATATATATAGATGCAATTTTCTTGGAGATAGTGTGCCGTTTGAAATAACTTTAATCTATGAATGAATTAATTAAGATCGATTAATGAAATAAAAATTTTTGATTGATTTTTGATGGAGAGCTTCTTTTTTCCTATGTATTTAGTTCAAAACACTCACAGTTTTGTTGTTGTTCTTGTCTAATGTAAATGAATTGATTCCAATCAATATTATCATTATTAACAATGATCATTTGGTTGGTGTCTTTCTGAATAAGCTCTTCAAAGTTTTGTTGCATATCATTGAGTTTTTTTCGAAGTCGATCAATATCAGTTTCAACAATATTTTCTTCTTCACGAAGAGAACTAATTTCTTTAGTAATCGGTTCCAGTTGTTTCATTATTTTTGTTTTTTAATTTTCAGCTAATTGAATAAGTTCATGTTGAACTTTTTCTGCTGCTTTTTTCACTTTATTGATTGTTGTTTTCTTCCATTGTTCAATTTGATCAAAAACATGTAATGATAAATAATTTGATTTTTCTAATTTCTGTATTAAATCAAGAAGTTCATCATGAGATCTGACTATTTCATTATCAAATCTAATCAATAATTGTTCTTCATGTTCTTTGAAATCTTTTCGACAAAAGTATTTTTTACATCCGGTGCAAAATGATTTAGCTGAAAGTTTACTGCAAATTGAGCATAAATTTAATTCATTGTCTGCTGCCATTTGTCTTACAAGATAATTACTGAAATAATGAAATCTATGCTGTGTATATCTCGATCTAAAATAAATTTAAATGAATTTTTATAATGAAAGAATTTTAAGTAATTCATTCAATATTCTTCATTTACAGTTCGAATCGAATCTAACTCCAAATAAGTTTATATTCTAAAACAAAATAATTTTGCTAAAATACATTTAATCTGATACAGATGTTTACCTTAGTTGTGTATACATTGATCACTATGAAAAACAAATATTGTTCTTACTAAAATCTTGTGTAAGTCTTTTTACTTTGTGGCTGTTATCAGAAAATGTGCGAAAAGTCGCTTTTCTAAGTTCTAATAATTTTAATGTCAAGAAATAGTCTTTTATTCGCACTAGGAAAATAGTATTAAAAAAACGGTGATTGGCTTTGATGAGGGTCGTTTTATCAATTCTTTTTTATAGTAACAAATGAAATGATAGCTGTTGATATTTTTTTCAATATTAAGTCGGAAGTAATATATTTTATGGCAACTTTAAAATTAAAGTAATTGACTAACCTTCACAAAAAAAAAATCGATAAGCGACCTCGAAAAACGCAAATTTTCTTATTCATAAATGTTTTACTCACGATTCGATGGTATATTTGCTTTTGTTGCTTTGTACGAAGGATACGTTGCGAGATGTGTTGAATAGTGCAAATGGAAGGTAGAAAGAAATCGAATGAGACTTACGTTTTTTTTTTCTTGCAAAGCAAAAATACATATATGAGAGGAAAGAGAATCAATTGCACAACTCAACTACGATAAATACTGAAAAGAGGTGTCTCTCGAGAGTAGAACTGTACGACAGATGATTCACTGTTACAGTGATGTCGCACTGATACATCTCGCCATCTATTTTTTCACTTATTTTATTTTATTTTTATTTCGTATTTCGTTTTTCATTTCTTTCTCGGTGATATATCTGGTCTTCTCTTTTGTTATCCATATATCTAGTCTCTGTTCTCTTCTCTTTTCTTTTTTTCTCTCTTTTTTCCTTGCTCACTATATATGTACGTGTTTTCCATCCTTTAAAACGGGATGATAAGATAATAAAAGATCGTGTGTAAGTGTACGTATACACACACACATATTACGCAATTTCTTTTAAACGAAAAGAACGAACTTAGCTTCGATCCAAAAGGACGAACGCTAACAATTGGCGACCCTGGACAAAAATCGAATATCCACAACAGAGATGGCCATCTCCATGGTAACAGGGCATAGGGTCGCTACTGTCTATTGCATTTCCCATCGACAGTAGCGACCCTATGCCCTGTTACCATGGAGATGACCATCTCTG